ATTCGAGGATTCTCCCGTGATCAATATTTTCAATCTGCAGAATACGACAATAAATATATACATAAATAAAAAGTGGTATAGTCATTAGTAACATTAGTTAATTGTCATTAGATCCAATGTCGCTATAAAATTTAGGGACATTTACAAAGAATGTTAATTGACTCTAAAAATAATAATTAGCGACAATTAAGTTATTGTTAATAATTAATTAACATTAAAAATTATTTTTAGTATAGTGTACGTCGTACGTGTTCTGTCTCATAATTTTTAGAACTTACATTGTACGTAGACTACGTAGACAGAGGCGTATCCAAGGGGGGTCATCGGATTCATGTGAACCCATGCTCTCCTCCCGAGATCATATATAGTAGTGTTATATATTTTCTTTTAAATATTGAAATATAGTTGTGTGAACCCACACTTGGAGAATCACATAATGCGATAATGACTAGGTGTACCTCTGTACGTGAGGTTAGAAATTTGAATTTTATATTTATCTTGTTTTATTTTACTTTCTAAAATTAGATAACACTTCTCTAAGTGGTAATTGATCACAATACTTTTGACATTTTAATTATCTAATAAGAATTAATTTTGGAGCTATAGTATTAAAATTTTAATAATTTACAATTAGTAAAAATCTAAATATCAAATCGATCAAATTTATATCTTAAATCAATATTTTTGTAATAACGCATCTATCTTCTCTAAATCCTGAATATGCCTCTTACTCAATTAATGTAGATGTTTTTCTACTCCCAACACAACACATGCATGAACCTTTGAACAATAACTTCGTGCAGAACTAAGGTACAATTTGGAAGGTTTGGACAGCTCAATCATTTATGTATTATTTTGCTTCATACTTTTTCCGTCCATCTTTACTTATTTTTACTTGTTCACTATACAAAAAATGATAGTTCAATATTCCATCTATCCCTAATTACTTATCTATTTTTTTCTTTTTTTAGTTGTTCCTAATTACTTGTCTATTTTGACAATCAAGAAAGGACAAATTTATTTTACTGATTATAACCCCAATTAATTACTTTGAAAAATGTAGAACCTCTTGAAAACTCTATGTTTTTAATTCATTCACTTCATAATTAATAGAGTAAAATGGTAACTCACTATATCAATAATTGTTTTCTTAAGAGGTGTGTTAATTCAAAAGTGGACAAGTAATTAGGTGTAGAGGGAGTAATACTTACTCTCTTTGTCCCTAATTACTTGTCCACTTTTTCTTTTTTAGTTGTCCCTATTTACTTGTCCATTTTGACAAATTACCTATTATGCCCTCAATTAATTACTTTGAAAAAAAGTAAAACTTTTTGAAAACATTAAATTTTTAATTCATCCACTTCATAATTAATGGGTGTAAAATGGTAAACTCACAGACAATTATTATTTTCTTAATAGGTGTGTCAATTCAAAAGTGAACAAGTAATTAGGGACAGAGGGAGTATCTAGTTTGGAAAATCAAGAGATAGTTTACTCTCTTAATTATGTCTATTTTACCCTTGATATTAAATACTACTCCCCCCCCCCCCCCCCCGTCTCATTTTATGTGAAGTAGTTTGACTCGGCATGAAGTTTAATAAAGAAATGAAGACTTTTAAAACTTGTGGTCTAAAATGAATGATAGAAATTTGTGTGACTATAAATCATTTCACTAAGGGTAAAATGAACAATTTAAAGTTTTAATTGTTACCTAATATAGAAAAGTGTTATTCTTTTTGGGATTGACTAAAAAGGAAAGTAAATCATATAAATTTGGACAGAAGGAGTATTCAACATCTAATACATTTCCCAAAAGATTAAATTTAACATATTCAAAGGGTAATATGGTATGTTACTCCTATTATTTATTATTTCTCAATGTGTGTATCATGTCAATAGTGAACAACTATTGTTGAACAAATAAAATATAATATTAATACTCATGTGTGAGATAAAAATCGGATTTAACAGTTGGACGAATCGGAAATTAGTGACACATGGCAAGAATGACAGGTCAGATGCGAATTTTGAATCGTGTTAATTATAAAATCGTCTTTATTAAAATATACTTTATCCTTTAATGAGAAATTTACCATAAAAAATCAAATTTAGTCGAATATGATATATAGTACATATAAGTTATTGGATTAGACTAATAAAAAATGTCAAATAACTTACTCAAACGGAGAAAATATAACTCATGATGAATCAAACAAGCGCATACGAATATTTTAAAGAATTCGTACAACATAATTTCATACTTAGGTGCGAATTAAGAGAAATAATAATATTTTCTCCGTCCTTATTTTTGTGGCATTTTTCGAATTTCGAAAAAACAAGTTAATTTTTAATCGTAAATTTTTATATATGTTTTAATTATTTTGAATTGACAATTACTGTGATTTATAGTACTTTTTACATAGTTTACAAATATATAAATTTCATTTAAATTTTTTTGAAGATTCCACGGGTAATTTTCAAATCAAATATCTCAAAAAATAAAAAATGTCATATAAATTAAAACAGATGAATGTCATATAAATTAAAACAGATGGAGTAATAAGAATAAAGAGGGACATGGAGATTTGTACAATTATTTGTAGTCTACGGACTAAGATAAAATATTGAAGATTGGACAGCTCATGAACCATATACTATACCGCGTTTTCATTATTGTCGAAAGAAAATTTAACTAAATATAATCCAAACTTTATAAAATATAGGGTAAAGGGTCAAATATGTCCTTAAACTATTCGAAAAGGTTTGGATATATCCTCTGTTTAAAGTTTGGCTCACTCATGCCCTCGCCGTCCAACTTTTGATCTAAATATGCCCTTATGGGCGTTAGTTGGCCTGTTGGACATATCCAGCTAATTTTTTATTTCTTTAAATGCCACATGAAATTGACATGTTATTTTGATTATACCACATGACATTTATATGAAAAATGGAAAGGGATCAATTATACCCCTAAAAAATTTGAGCCCATAAACACCTGATCCGACCCATAAATCAACCCCCCCTTTTAAATAAACTACCCGACCCGTTTTCAATAATTTTGTTTAAATTTTTATTTTTTTCGGTAAATCCGAAAATGAGTAATTGATTAATAAAAAATAGGAAAAATATGAAAAAAATATAAAATTAACGCCAAAAATTCACAAATAAATATTGTAACCTTAAATTCAACAATTTCAACAATTTTTTAATTTTTTTGTTTTTTTGGTAAATCCCGAAAATGAGTAATTGATTAATAAAAAATAGGAAAAATATGAAAAATAAAATAAAATTAATGCCAAAAATTCACAAATAAATATTGTAACCTTAAATTCAACAATTTCAACAATTTTTTAAATTTTTTATTTTTTTCGGCAAATTTCAAAAATGAGTAATTTATTAAAAACAATAAAAATTTAAATTTTTTTTCAAGGTTACTATATTTATTTGTGATTTTTTGGCGTTAATTTTATATTTTTTCATATTTTTTATTAATCAATTACTCATTTTTGAGATTTACCGAAAAAATAAAAATTTTAAAAAATTGTTGAAATTGTTGAATTTAAGGTTACAATATTTTTTTGTGAATTTTTGGCATTAATTTTATTTATTTTTTCATATTTTTTATTAATCAATTACACATTTTCGGGATTTACCAAAAAAAATAAAAATTTATACAAAATTGTTGATAACGGATCGGGTAGTTTATTTAAAGGGGGGGGGGGGGGGTTGATTTATGGGTCGGATTCGGTGTTTATGGGTTCAAATTTTTTAGGGGTATAATTGATCCCTTTCCATTTTCATATAAATGTTATGTTGTAAAGTCAAAATGACATGGCAATTCCATGTGGCATTTAAAGAAATAAAAAATAAGCTGAATATGTCCAGCAGGCCAACTAATGCCTATAGGGGCATATTTAGACCAAAAATTGGACGGCGAGGGCATGAGTGAGCCAAACTTTAAACAAAGGGTATATCTAGACCTTTTCGAATAGTTTAAGGGCATATTTGACCCTTTACCCTAAAATATATGTACTCCTATGTTCTAGGTTTTGTATAAAAATACATATAAAAAGTACACAATTAATTTGAACCCCACACTCTGAATTCCAAAGAGACCAACAGATAAAGATAATTCTTTTTTTTTTTTTTTGTAAAGTACATTTTTTGTTTCACTTTTTTTATTTGCTTTTAAAAACTTAATATATTTTTATATATATAGTAATGATTTAATCTTAAAATATTTAATTATTTCTTAATAAGATAATTTATTAACTTAAGTCATGTAAATATTTATAACTTATTTTAAAATATAAATTTTAAAAATCTTTATTTATTACTATTTTTGTCTCATATTAGATGAACATCATACTACTAAAAGTATTTGTCTCATTTTACTTGACACTTACTAAATTAGAATTAATTATTTTTCCATTTTACCCCCATAATTAATATGACTTTGAAAGTTTAAACAAATTTTGAAGATCCATTTTTTTTTTCAAGAGGCTAAGTAATATTTCCTTTGCCCAACAATAATTGTTCACTATTGATTTGACACAAGAATTCAGAATCAGTAAATGGTAGGGGTAAATTTACCTAATCACCCCTATTAAATATAATTGATCTAAACATTGAAAAATGAATACTAGTATTTAATAGTAAAGGTAAAATAGACACAAAATGGTAAATTATTCATTGATTTTGCAAACTAGACAAATAATGTTGGAGATCCCAAAACAGTAAAGTTGATCAATCTATTAATAATTTCTTAATAATCGTGTAAAATAGAAAGTGTCCATCTAATATAAGACGGAGGGAATAATGATTCGAAAAGATTCATTAATGACAAGTTGCAAGCACATGTAATGGACCTATTCTTAGCATCTTAGAAGTTTCATCAATCTCCTTAATTCAACTTATTGTATAAATTCCCTTCTTCTTAATCTGTTTTAGAAAGCAAAAACAAATATCACCTTACCAAAAACATATTCAAAAATTCTATAATGAGGAAAGAAAGAAACAATTGCAAGGCCATGCTTAATCATCTTATGGTAAAGCTCAAGAACATTATTATTCATCTTCAATTAATTCCAAAATCTTCCAGTAAGCATCAATTTGATGTTGTGGAATTTGTTGAAACACCAAGAGCAAATAATGAAATGGTACCAAATGATGTTAAAGAAGGATATTTTGCTGTATTTTCAGTAAATCCAGAAGAAGAGCCAAAGAGGTTTATTGTGGAACTTCATTGTCTTAATAATCCATCATTCTTGAAATTATTAAAACAGACTGAAGATGAATATGAATTTGGACAAAAGGGTGTTCTTGAAGTTCCTTGTCATGCCTCGGAATTACAAAAAATTCTCAAACTCAAGTTTATAGTTTAGATATATTGCAAAAATTGATTTTTAACCTGAGTTATAGATCATACTAAGATAACTTTAGCGATAGCTCTCTACTATTGTCGTTGTTTTAGAGGGTGTTTATATGATATTTATTGTTTTATTCCAATTTCTTAGTGGCTTGCTACTTCCAAAGTCAAAATTAACCTCTAATGTGGTTTAACAAATTCCTATTGATTTAAAGAATGTTGTGATTATTCCGTTTAAAAGCTTAAATACTTAAAAATATATATATTCTTATTTGTTTAATTATTATATTTTTAGTACACATCGATCTTTAATTACATGCAAGTTAATTTCAAAAGTTATTTATATTAACGATGTATGCTGTTCATCTATGGTTGGAAAATATTTATTGGATTGGAGCTATCCAAAAGAGGTAATAATTATCTCGTTAGTTCATTAGCTTGTCTTCCTTTAAAATATATCCTACTTATAATAACGTATAAATACACCATTATCGGTGTTGGAAAAAAAAGTTTTTTCTAACATAATATGACAACAAGAATTTACACAAAATATGCTTTGCATATCTATCTAGACCATAGAAACCAAAGAAACCATTCATCTTGTAATAATTCCTATAACATTCCACATGTAAGTAATTTTAATTTTTTTTTTCACGGGATAAATATGAGGAAAATTCTTTCTAATAATCGTCGATAGTAAAATTCAAAGTCAAATATGACCTCTACCTACAATAACACTATGTCAAAATGACGATCATCTTATCTAAAAATTTTCTTTATAAAAAAAAGGAAAGTACATTAATTTTAAAGTTCTTAATATTATATCGACAACAAAATCAAAAGTTGTTTGGTCAACTCCTTTTCAACTGTCTTACAGTTGGCACCATACTATGAAATGGAGAAAAATAAATTCCTTTTGAAATATTTGACCTTTAAATATCAATTTCTATAAACACGATAATGTGTAAGAAGTTGTCATCTCCTCGAATTTAGCATACTTCCAGCTGGATATATAACACAAAATACGTTATATACAAATTTTTCATTAATATATAATGGAAACAACTTTTATTTATAGCATAGCGAATCTTATTATGCGATACGAAAGTGAATTAATAATCTAATTATATAGTAAGTAGTATTGGATATAATAGCACACCTTATATAGTGTATAAACATAATAGTGAATCATAACAAATTCTTAAACGATCTATCAAAGATTAGAAAAATGATAATAATCGCGATCACTTCGAGGCAATAACATAGCGAGTAAAATTTGAGACAAGCAGAAAGGGGAAAGGTGCCAAAGACCTTCACATATGCTTAATAATAATAATAACATTAATAATAATATCCTTTTCTGTACGGACTAAGGTACGCTACGGAAAATAAATCCTTTTTCTTTTTATATTTATATATACAAATGTGGAGGTTGGGCAGCTCAATCATATTATTATTATGGTATACCGCGTTTCCATTTACGTCAAAAAAGGAAATTTAAAAATAGGATATCCAACTTACAAAATTATTATCTTATTATATGTGATATATATTTGAACGGGCTAAAAATTTAAAGTTTATGAATGGAGAATTCTAAAAAAATAGCTTAATGATTCTGGATAAATTATTTAAGTATATCTAATAAATTTTAAGCATAAAAAAAATAATTTGCATTTTGAATCAAATTATTGCGTTTAGTCAAACCCTAAATTGATAAGTTTGACAATTTCATTCTAAATTTTGCCACGTAAATGAAACTAATTTAGTAAATGACCATCGATCAATTTTGAGAGTAGTTATATTTGAAATTTTTTCTTCAAATATATGTTTGTTCATGAAATTTGATCAGATTTTGAAATTGAATTCATAGGTGATACTCTCTCCGTTTAAAAAAGAATGACCTAGTTTAATTTGAAACGGAATTTAATAAATGAAAGAAAACTTTTTAATCTTGTAGTTTTAAATTAGTTTTGTCAAATGTATCAAAATGCCCTTTAATCTTGTGGCTTTATATATGTCACGTGGAAAGTTAAAGTGCTGTCAAAAAAAGAAAATAAGTTTTTTTTTTTTTTAAACAAACTAAAAATGAAACTAGACAATTCTTTTTTAAACGGAGGAAATACAAAAAGTCAGAACTTGTTATTAGCACATGGCATGGACCCTATACTGACCATCTCAGAAGTTTCATCTGCTTGCTAGCTAGCTTCTTAGTATTTCAGAAAGTGCATGCATTAAATTCTTATATAAATTGCCTACCTAAATTCACTCCACAAACAAAATTAACTCTTACAAAAAATATATCACCACATCCCAAAATTAGAATATTCAACAATTCTATATATGGGAAAAGAAAGAAGCAATTCATGTATAGTCATGCTTAAGATTATAATGAGAAAATTCAAGAATAATGAAGTGGTACCAAATGATGTTAAAGAAGGACATTTTGCTGTATTTTCAGTAAATCCAGAAGAAGAGCCAAAGAAGTTTATTGTGGAGTTGCATTGGCTCAATAATCCATTATTCTTGAAATTATTAAAACAAGCTGAAGATGAATATGGATTCCAACAAAAGGGTGTTCTTGAAGTTCCTTGTCGCGCTGCGGAATTACAAAAGATTTTGGAACTCAAGATTGGATGAAATATCATATTCTTTATTATAGCTAGGATGAATTTTTCAATTTTTTTTATGTTAATTTGTTTAGTTTTGACTAATTAGTTATGTAGTTTAGTCTAAAAGACTATGTTATATACATCGATAGTGTAAAATGCCCTATCGAATTAAATAATTCTTTTTTTTTTTATAATAATCCATTCATCCAGACTTTCACCTCTCATGGTGATAGGAGGTTTGGCTCGGAAGAAATAATATCACTACTTCTTTTGCAGTTTATTAATCAAACTTTCTAACTTCTCTTTTAATTGTTTAGTGTTGGTGAAAATATCATAAATTACCGTTGAAAAAGAAATTGAGTTAACAAAAATTGAATAAATAAATATTCAGATAATTAAGGCGTAAATATCTCGCTCTCTTTAAGAAATTCAAATTCATTGTAGTATAATTTTCACTCATCCAGCAGTATAACTTTTGACTTGTTCCCTCTAGAATACATTATTCTAATAATAACGTCGTATAACTCAATTAAAATATCATCTTCAACTCTAATTTTATAAATTCTAAATAATAAAGAAAAATATTTGAAATCTATGACCAACCGCCGACTTAATGTCGTAAGTTTTTTTTAAAATCATCAATCCATAGTCGACAAACTTATTAAACTCCCCTCTTTATCCAATTTGCTTTTATGTTTTATTGAGACAAGTTAATAATTGTACATAAGAATTTACATCCTGGGATATAGGCAACAAATTAAAGGACCCAGTAGTTTTAGGAATAATTATTCAAGAAAGTATCTTCTCCAATTTCCATATTGACGATATTTGATTTTCTAGTGAATACCTTTATATGAGAAAAAAACAGTTTGATACGCAAAATATTTCATATATATTAATATAGATGTAATGTATATCATGTTCATGCATGATTCGAATAGGGCCAACCTAAGATGATGTAATACTGGAAAACCTTGAATATAATTAACCATTCCACGAATCAAATATGTGATCTAATCAATAAGTCACACATAAATAATTTTATCGTTACTTTAAAAATTGCTTCAATAATATCACGTAGGCATTATCTAAAATATATTGAAGAATATCCACTTCATGTTTATCTAGTTTGTAGTCTTGTAGGTTTGGAGGGTGTATAAATGATATTTCTTGTTCTTATGATGAAAATGATGTTTTTCTAGTTCCAAAGTCAAAATTATGAGACCTACTCTAATGTGGTTTAGCACATGTATTAATTAATTAAGTAGAAGCTATAAAAGTATCAAATTTAGAAAATGGTGGTGATTATCTCATATTCTCGTTTAATAAAAATATTATATTTTATTTATTTAATCACATTCTTAACAAAAGCAATGTTGTTAGCCAAATCTAGGGGTCAGTCCAATAAAATCTTGACTCACTCAATCCGTTTTAGTTTAGACTGGTTATCTCGTATATTTTATCAATTCAACCCTTTTGACCCGCTTAATGTAGCTTATTTTAAAATTGGACTGATATCCCGTTCAAATTGATTCATGAAAAAATTTATCTCACTATTTTAAAAAAGACATTTTCGTATTTAATATGTTATATATAGTCATTTATAAAGAACAAAGTTTTATTACGTACTCAATCTATAAGAGAACAAACAAAAAAACTTAGTAACTAAGAATTAAGTGAGTTAGATTAGATTATGATCCAATTTTAACTTACTTCTGCCAAATTTCATTGGCCCAACTAATTTTTGAGTTGTACGATTATTCGTCGATTAATTAACTCAACCTATTTTCCTCGATCCACCAATGATACACCCCTAGTCAAATCCTTTTCACCTTTCTTACTGTAATTTTGGCTCCATACTATGAATAAATTCTTGCACTGAAATATTTGACCTTAATTTCTATGAACACGACAATGTGTGTAAGAACACATCAAACTCACCATAAATACAGTACCAGTGGGTGGATGGGCAAAATTGCAACTCCAGCTGCATATCAACCGGACATACACCACTATTTGTATTTATAATAATTAACGAGGAAAATGGTCTGAAAATTATTTTAACTTTAGCCAAAATTGATGTTACGATACCAAACTTTATGAAGGACCTTTTACCCCCTACTCTATTTAATAGTGTATTTTAAAGGTATATATGTGCCCACGTGGACACGTTACTATTTATAATTAAGCAATATTTATGATGTCCACGTGAGCACATATATACCTTTAAAATACACTATTAAATAGTGTAGGGGTAAAAGGTCCTTTCCAAAGTTCGATATTATTACAACAATTTCAGTTAAAATTCGAATATATTTCATACCTTTATCCCATATTTAATGTTTGAAATATTTTTGTCTTATATAACAACGGTGTGACATAATATTCTTTTGTAGTATATAATAATAATTTATCAAAATCTGCTTACACATATCTCAATTATTTCATCAAAACTTGCACATTACAAGTGTACTAGTCGATAATTTGAGAATGTCACCATTTAAATTCAAAAAAGATTTTAATATTTAAGATTTTCAATATTAAACTCGTTTTTATCATTAATAAATTTTTACATGTATAGATACCCTGTATATAAAAAATTCACGTGTTCAGATGAACCCGTAGCGAAAAGAGTAGGCACCTCCACTGCAGTTCACACTAGTCGGTGAACAAGAAAAAAAATCCACCTACCTAGTCAAATTAGAATTTTCCAAAACCATAATATATACGTAGATTATTTCATCCAATAAGTGAATTTTAATTGATGTCTCGTATAAATCACTTACTAGCTCATTTAATGAAGTTTTACGCGATATAAAGTTAAATTAATCAATATAATGTGCGCTGAAAATCGACGCGATACGTTGGAGGAATTTTGACGCGTTGGACAGTGCTGCGCGATGTCAAATTAACGTTCTGATGAAATTATTTTTGGTAGAATTATTTCAAAACATAGCTTATAAGCATAATTTAATGATGTAGCAGCTGTATATTATTAATAAAATAGTATATCCTTTTATATTCCCAACACATGGACCTTACTAAAAGTATCTTGACTGACTGTACGGACTAAGGTACAGTACGGAAAATAAATCCTTTTTTTAAAATAATTGTGGAGGTTGGGCAGCTAAATCATATTATTATTATTATTATTATTATTATATATGGTATACCGCGTTTCCATTTACGTCTAAAAGGAAACTTTAAAAATAATATCCCACTTAGAATATTCTAATTCATCTGTTCTACAGTAAGTATGTGATATATGCTAGAAGCAGAGTTAAAATTTGAAATTTATAAATTTAAAATTTTAATGTTTTAGGTTACTAAAATCTAAGTTTGATTATTTTTATATATTCAATATGTTTTCTTTTAATATATAAATATAAAATTAAAGTCAAAATTATTGAATTAAGTCGAACCTGTAAATAAATCGCGCTAGGTATGCCTCTGCATATACTATTGCATTTTGGAAGTTAGAAGAGTTATTTCCTTTTTCTTTTTTTTTTTGCTTCATAAGTAGTATAATATATGTAGTTTTCAAATATATTAATTTTTTTTTTAAAAAAATAATATATTTTTTTTCAAATTCACATCTAGAATTAATTAGCTTGACACTTATGAAAAATTCAATTAGTTAGATGTTGAAAGTTGCTATAGCACATGGAATGGACCCTATTCTCAGCATCTTAGAAGTTTCATTTGCTAGCTAGCATTTTATTGTATAAATTGCATACCTAATTTTTTTCAAAAATCAAAACAAAATCATACTACAAATATATATCACTACATCCCAAAATTAGAATATTAATTTTTTTTATAAAGTTCATTGATATATGTGGAAAGAAATAAGCAATTCATGTATAGTCATGCTTAAACTTATAATGGGAAAGTTCAAGAAAAATGAAGTGGTACCAAATGATGTTAAAGAAGGACATTTTGCTGTATTTTCAGTAAATTCAGAGGAAGATCCAAAGAGGTTTATTGTGGAGTTGCATTGGCTCAATAATCCATTATTCTTGAAATTATTAAAACAAGCTGAAGATGAATATGGATTCCAACAAAAGGGTGTTCTTGAAGTTCCTTGTCACGCCGCGGAATTACAAAACATTTTGGAACTCAAGTTGGGATGAAATATCATATTTCTTTTTAAACGTTTCTCTGTTTGTTGAAGTATGTGACTGTCTTATTTAAAAGATGTGACAGAAAACACATATTTCATTTATTTAATTATATTCTCACAATATGCCCCCTAAACCCTAACGTGTGAGTCTAATTCTTTTTTATGGACAAGCACATAAAGATTCTATTCTTTATAATGGTGTTGTTAGAACCTAATCTAGAACTTCTATGTACTCTGATATCATATTAGTATATGTGACAATCTTATCTGAACGCTTAAGCGGTTGGAAAAAATACATTTCTATATACTTAGCATGAGTTTGATAATGTTATTAAGAAAGTTGAAGTAAATAAGTGTTTAACGTATAAATGACCATTCAATTTGGTCAAAAGCTTTTTCAAGACCAATTTTCATATTGGTCTGCTTACCTTACATTTTCCCAAAGTGAGTGATTATTTATTGGATCGCGATATACATTATCTATCGTCCATCTATTTTTTTTTTTTTTTTTTAAAACAACTTGATAGACAAGTTCCATCAAAGCCATAGAAATATTTTTGTCATTTTTTTATAGATGGCATTACAAAGATTTATAAGCCTAAAAAGTATGTAACCCATCCTTGAACGATTCAAAGGATTTAATAGCATATAATGTTTTCTCCTTCGTTTAGTTCCTTTCCTAGCGTAGATTGTCAATGTTGTTCAAATAAAAGTTGATTAGGCAGAAAAGATATTCTCAAAATAATTAACAAGTATAGTATGTGTAAACATCGAAATTTTGTGGGCACTCTACCAGACGAGCTCAAATACTCAACCATCAACTCGAGTTCACACCTATATATATAAAAATAACACATTCACTTCTCGAAATCTCATAAACTCTTGAAATATTCGTAAACAAGATCAAGACATCAAATACTGAGTTTGTCAAAGCCGGTGCCAAAAAATGTTTCTAGCGATCAAATACATCCTAAGGAAGCCCAAATCATCTGATATTTGATAAATACATTACTTACAACCCTCAAATCTATGAGAAAATTAATTGTAGATACTATAAATCAAAAAAGGAACAAACTTGCATTAAGAGTGGTGGTGGTTTGGACAAATTTTGTATTAGCATCACCAAGCCAATCTGTATAAATAATAAAGCTGAATATGAAAATGATGACGTGGCGCTCTCTGAGGGCTTGATTCTTATTAATCTTTTTTTGTGTTTTTTTTTGACATTTTTCTTTTATTTTATTTTCAATTATTTTATTTTCATACCTCTTTAATCACATAAATTTTACTCTTAATAAATATTAATAATGTTCATAACTCCTAACCTTTCATATTCATAACCTTCAAATAATTTAATATACAAATTTATGACATCTTAAAATCACACTTATAAAAACCTATTTTCAGACATATGTGATGATTATTATTTTTTTACATTTTTCCTTATTCTTCATCTTTTATCTCTTTTGTTGGTTAATTTTTTGTCTCTTTTGTAGGTTCAAATTTTGTCTTCTTTGATCTGATTTTGCAGGAGAGAGATCTATAATGAAGATTGTTAGACATTTTTGTGCAGTTCAATTTTACAAGGTAAAACTATTTGATGTGCCTAATATAGTTGTCACTATTTTCTGTTGCAATTATAAATTCAATATTATTATTTTTGAATTCATGATAATATGAATCATAAATTTTTAGAAAAAATTGTTTGATTTTTTCTCTTTGCTTCTCTTTGTAGTTTATAAAGATTTTTTTTCTTGTTTTTATAGTTTTTAGAGCATTATGTTATGTTATGTTGATAACAAGATCCTTCCTTTATCTTTAACTCATAACTAAAAATTCTTTAACGTTTTTATTTGATTAATTATCTTCTTTTTTATATTTTGTTGTTGTTGTTGTAAGGTTAACTTATTTTGTTTTTATGTCAGGATATTTTTGAAATTAATTAATAATTAAGCTAAGTGAGTTAAAACTTCTAAATATCCTATTTTTTATTTCAGGATATCATTAAAGTCTATAATATAAGCTGATTCTCTAATTTAAGCAAAAACTTGCTACGAAGATATTTTGGGAGACTTTTGGATGCCATTGATGCAGTTTAGTAACTTTCTTTTGTTAGTATAAGACAAAATCTGAAGGAAAGTTTCTGAAATTATTGCTATTACATAAAGTATCGTTTACGTTAAAATTCTGAATTGTTATTCAACTTTCAATTTATTACATCAAGAAATAATAAATTATCTTTGCAATTTGTCTTATATCCACATCACCAATCATAACCAATAGGTTCATATTATTTTATGATGATGGTCTCAGTTATTCTCAACTCTATCTTTCAAATATTTCTACTAATGTATGAGTAATATAAGTTAACCAGCTAGAATATGTCATACATATTTTTCTACTTTAACTTATATTAATGTAGATATTTATTTGGTGTTAATTTACGTTTATTCATACACAAAACTTAAACTCGATAAATATCTGGCTAGAAAAGTCCTTGGAACCTTCTTTTGCTAGTTTTTTTTTTCATCTTTATACAGAAACAAATTAATTAATTGTACCTAAAATCAGGTAAGGGAACAAAGGAACCAATTGGTATATGAATAGTCATTCAAGAAAGTGAAATATCATAAATCAAACTCATTGCATGATCATGAATTTCAAGTAAAATAAAAGGGAAATGTAGCATGAAGAGAAGGCCCTTCTCTTTTGTATACACATTTTCATGTGAACCATCAATTTTTTCAACTATGTGAAGAGGGCCTGATCATGTGGAAAGTGATGGTTTTCTAATATATCTCAGTATTAGAAGATACATATACAATTAATTATTAGGTAATGTATTTGATATTGTCTATATCAAGTCGATAAATGTTATTTTGTTAAAGTGTGATTGTATGTACATAGATTATTAGCAGTTAATCATATGATTAATTAACATACATGTATTCTCACCACATTAAGGATCCATTAGGCCATGATATTTTTTTTTTTTCCGGATTTTTATACTTTATTTGAAAATTAGGTTTGTCCATAAAATTTTCAGGTTAAAATCTATGGAAATATCATAGCAGGGATCATTTGGTTTGAAGACAAGTTATGTTGGATTTACTTAAGATTGAATTAGTTATCGAGTATTTGATTTTTGTTGTATAAAAAATAACACACATTACATAATTTCTAAGAAGAAGTTGTTTGTTTACAAATATACCCTCCAACTTATAATTTAGTAAAAAGAAAATTCGAGGTACTTCGAGCGTATTTTATCATTTTAATTTTTGTATCTCGAGATAACTTATCCCCATAATACTATTCCACCATGACAGAAATAACTTAATTATCTTAATACTATTACTAATTTTGGAATAACTTATCCCAGACGTAGTAACCAATTAAGGATAAAGCAATACTAATTATTTCTTTTAATCTCAAAACTACATATTCTTGTCCCACCTATCAAACGACTCCTAACATCATAATGAATTAAGTACTTTTATATGTTTCATTATGATACAAAGGTAACAAAAGCACATGCAATACTAATGTACCCTCTGGTCTCTAGCTCATCACCATCTAATAAGAAACTTGTTAATTAATTATTCATAGCTTCAATAAATTAAATCTCCTTCCTACAAATACCTCATGAATTCCCCTAAACACTAAAGCAAAACACATATCATCCATCCTACTACTAAACTCTCTACTTTAATTCCAAATTATCTTCAATAATGTCAATGCTTAATTATCTTATGGGAAAGCTCAAGAATAATCTTATTCAATTAATTTCCAAATTTGATGTTGTGGAAATCCCAAGAGAAAATAATAATCAAATGGTACCAAATGATGTTAAAGAAGGACACTTTGCTGTATTTTCTGTGAATTCACAAGAAGAGCCAATGAGGTTTATTGTGGAATTGTATTGGCTCAGTGATCCATCATTCTTGAAATTATTAAAACAAACTGAAGATGAATATGGATATGGACAAAAAGGTGTTCTTGAAGTTCATTGTCTTGCCGCGGAATTACAAAAAATTCTCAAAATCAAGTTTGTAGTTTAGATAATATATGGTTTAATTTACAACCATATGCTATATCATCATCTTCTTCGAGGCCAATCCTACAGACAATCAGGCAAACGCAAGTTCACTTCAAGTAGTGGAAAATTTCTTCTTTTTATAGTTTATTTAAATATATTGAGTCCATCTCTAAAATAAAACTGAGACTTACTTCATGTTAAGGACAAAAGGGTACTAGCTATTAGTACATTCTCCATGTTGTTTGGATGGTTGTTACTTGTTAGAATTGTAATGTATTATGACGTTAGTTTGGATATAATGTTTGTTTTATTTGGTATTTAAATTTTTATTGTATCGTATTGTTAGATTCAGCGTCATGTAACAATGAAAAATCTTATATCATATAAATACTGATTTGATGTGATTAATTTGTCTTTGCTTATTAATAATAATAATTTAATTTTATCCTTAATCTAGTTTTTTTCTTTATCTTATATCTTACTTTTTTTTTTTAGATTTATTCTTTGAATTACTGATGTATGATTATGTACAATAAAAAATAATATAATTTATTTAAATATTATATTTATCAAAACAATAATAAACAAAATATAATGCCTAATATAGCACAATATATTAGAATTTAGAAACATCATTAAATAAGGTCAACCATAAAATTAAAGTCAAACATTTGTTGACACCTTGAACTGCCCAAACCTCCTATCCAATAAGGGCCCATTCAGCATGATTGTTTTTTTAAAAAAACTATCTAATTACGTAAATAATCATGCTTTATATACCATTCAATCTATACTTTTAAATAATTAATTACTTATTATTTTATCATGTATCATATTATATATATATATATATATATAGACGTCAAAATTGTGAGACACTATCAAAATCGAGCATTCTATAGAACCTTTCCTAAACATCACTATCACTAAGCCAATTAATAAGTGAGTTACCCTTCCAAATATTCTCTTCTTGTTTAATTACTCTTTTATAAGATAACTCTCTTGATTAAGTAAAAACTTGCGATCAAAGATATTTGATATTTTGTGTAGAAAAATATTTCCACAGGAAGATTAAGCATGATGAAATAAAACCTGAAGGAAAGTCTCTTAATTATTATTTATACTAAAATGATATGACGTCGCATACTAGTAGTGCAAGTTAACCGGTTAGAATCGGTCACGTACACATATTTTTCTATGTTAACTTTTATTAATATAAATATTTATTTCTTGTTAATTTATGTTAATTGATTTTATATATAACTATTCATATGTAATGACCCGGAAGGTCATTTTTGAAAATTTTCACAAAATTATTGTTGTATCCCTTTCGATAGTTGTCACGAGTCATTTTCGATCAGTCGGTGAAGTTGGTCTGAAAATTTTGAATTATTCGATAACTACAGTTAGTTAATTGGCAAAATTTATTAAATAATTAATTTATTTAATTGGTGATTAATGGGTCAAGCCCTTAATTTAATTATTATCTCATGTCACTCAGACCATATACATTAAAAATAAGTAAGTAGGGTTTAACATTTTAGTCCATAATCATAGAGAGGCGGAGGGCACGGTTTGACGCCACAAGAAAAGTGACTCGTGCTTCAGGTAAAACCTCAGGTTTATTTTGTTTCTGTATTGTTGTTGTAGGAAAAGAGTAGTATATTGAGAGAGTTTAGTAAGAAAGTAATAATGAGTTAGGTATTTACAGGATAATGATATCTAAAAAATATAATTGAGGATGAATTCTGCGTAGTTTTCCTTGTTTTATATTTTTCTTCTTCTTCTTTGTTTGTTTAGTGGTCGAGGTTACTAATGGTGAAACTTAGCTTAAATTTTAGAATCTTCCTATAGTTATCACATTATGATTCAAGATTTGATATATATTAAGATAGGTAGTTAAATATGAATATTATTATATTTATGATATTGGAGATGTTGGAACCTAATCCTTGACTTGAAATTTGGAAAATATGAGAATTGACATGCTAATTGGTATCAAGATTAGGAGCTTGATTATACCTTTGAGTGAGTTTTTAGATCTAGGCTAAACCTATAGTAATATTGGTGTTGTTTGTTTCAAACTCTTATTGTGATTATCTATTTGAATTGATTTAGAAGTCCAACGAAAGGGAAAAGATCCAGTCCCGGAGTGATTGTTCAACTATTTGAGGCAAATGAATTTCTAAACCCTTGTTAAGTGTATGTAATTCGTGTATTTCCTTGTAATATGTGTTTGGGGGTAATGAGACTTGGTGATGGGTTGACTTGTCCACATTGATTAATTGTAATGATGAAAAAGGGGTAATAATATGCAATGTGATTAATTGTTTGTGTGTGATATGTTGAGAATGGTTTGAAAGGCTTGTTGAATCATTGTTGATGTTGTATCATGATTGTGTTGTTGTGAATTGTGCAATATTATGAAAATGACCATCTCCTCATTATTTATGTGAAACATGTCATTTGCATTGTTCTGAGACATGGTTGTGACAAGTGTTATGTGAATTGAGAAATAATAAGAAATTAAAGAGGATGTACCATTTCGAGGGACGTATCGCGAGCCGCGATGGATACTATATTTCGAGGGACGTATCGCGCGTCGTGATGGTTACTATTATCGAGGGTCATATCGCGCGCCGCGATGGTTACTATTATCACGGGTCGTATTGCACGCCGCGATGGATGCATGGACAGATATGTCCCCCATGGATCCCGAACTGAGAGACAGCGGGTGTGTATCAGTAGGTCAAACATGCATCACTATACTTGACATTGCATTCCATTGCATTGAACATATTTATCATTAGTGAGCTTGATATTGTGATTTGTTGATCTTGTGAGTGCCTTTCTGTGGAACTTTGATTGATGAATATTGAGCTTGTTGTTGAGGATATGTAATTGTTAGAGTGTTGTTGTTGAGTTGTGTGCTATGTGAATTATGAACTGGTTGGGCTGGTTTTATGCAGGTTGTAGTTGTGGAGGTTGTAATTGATGAACATTGAACTTGTTGTTGAGAATATGTGTTTGTTAGAATGTTGTTGTTGAGATATGTGCTTGGAAATTGTGAACTATTAGGTTGGGCTGGTTTTATACAGGTTGTAGTTGTGGAGGTTCGGTTGAGATGTAAGGAGTACCCGTATTCTATCCCCTTAGCTTGTGTTTAGATGTTTACTTGCTGAGTACCGTGTGTTTTGATACTCACCCCTTGCTACTACATTTTTTTGTAGGTTACTAGCCCGGACCTTGTGATATTTTCTATTCTCCTTGTCTGAGGCTTCTTGTGGAGGTTTGTGAGGTAGTTGCTTGTCATTTCAGCAGACCTTCTTTCTCCTTAATAATGATCTTGTTCTATTCTAGAAACAATATCATTTGAAACTTGTATTTTCTTTCAATTTTGTTACAACACATTAGAGGCTTATACACGTGACAACCAGATTTTGGGGGTATTTTTGAGTTTATTATAAAATTTTCGCATTTTATTGTAATGGTTGAGTTTTAGGCTGACTTGTCTTGGTGGGATAAGACGAGTGTCATCACATCCATTTTTTGGCGTGACATCATATATATTATTTGTGCATAAAATTTAAACTCGATAAAATATCTGCCTCGTGAAAGTTTGCCTAGAACCTTCTTTATATAGAAACAAATTACTTAATTGTACCTAAAATCCGGTAGCTAGGGGAACAAAGGACCCATTGGTATTTGAATAGTCATTCAAGAAAGTGAAATATCATAAATCAACTTATTGCATGATCTTGAATATCAAGTAAAATAAAAGGAAAACTTAGCATGAAGAGAATGCCCTTCTCTTCTCTATACACACTTTCATGTGAGCCATTAACTATTTTGGTCTTCAAAAAATCTATTAGATATTGATCACTTCATATCTTTAGCAAGTTGCTAACCTAATTTTTAAATTGAGATTGTCGCACACTTTAATATGATATTAGTGTAGAATAAAGTCTTATTGCTAGTACCCATTATCAAAAAGAATTTTAACATACGTAACTCATGAAAAAACATCAGGTTTGCATATGAATGATGTGACGAAAATATAACTAAGTAAATAAAAGGTGTGTCCTTAAAATAAGTATATCCCTATACTAAGGGGTTGATGTAGCCTTTAACTTTCCATAATATATGCAAAAAAAACTACTAAAATCTCAACAAATATTAGAGTTGAACCCATAACTTTAAGGGATTAGTTGGTTTGAAGACAATTGCTAGCTAGTTATGTTGAAATTAGTTAAGAGTGGATTAGTTATACTGGAAGTAGTTATTTTGATTTTATTTTTTGTTGATTGTTTGATTTGTTGCGTATTAATAACAACACACATTGTATAACTTCTAAAAAAAATTGTTTATTTACAAAACTATACCCTCCACTTAATTTAGTAGTAAGAAAAAAGGTTTGAGGGATCATGGTACTATTAGTCCATCATTTCTCAGAGAGATAACTTAGCATGATACTAATTACTAATTGCAGTATAACTTATCCCAAAATTAAGAACCAAACAAGGACAAGACAGTACTAAATTTTAACCTCAGGACTACCAATATATCTATGTTTATACCATATATCAAATGACCCCAACATTATAATGAATTCAATACTGACAATCTTAAAAGTTTACATTTTTTTTTCTTCAAAACAACAGAATAAAAAAATTAAAGATTCATCATATATGTTCCATTATTGTTGAGTTTAATTTGAATCATTTTGATAATTGTTAGAGTGATGAAACATGTTGATGCAACAAGTATGAGAATTAAGTTCTTAATATAGCAAATCTTGTAACCTGAATTTGTTGAGGTTCTTTGTTATAGTGAAGTTTGAAATAAATCCTATAGAGGTGTAAGTCGTGATTCTTTTACTCTTGTGAGCTAGGTGTTTTTCACATAAAAATATTTGTGTTCGTTTTTTTTTTTTTTATACTTTACTTTTACGACTAGATTATCAGTGAAACATGTAGTTTGAGTTGTTTCATATATATAAATGACATAGGAGTTCACAAAATATCAATTATGATACAAAGGATAGCAAAAGCACATGCAATATTAATGGACCCTTTTGCCTCTAGCTCATCCCCATCTAACAACAATTATTTGACAACTTCAATAATCTCCTCCTATAAATACCCTAAACTCTAAATCAAAACACATTATCCTACTACTACATTCTCATTAAATTATTTTCCAAATTATTTTCAATAATGTCTAGGCTTAATCATCTTATAGGAAAGCTCAAGAATAATCTTCTTCAATTATTTTCGAAATTTGATGATGTGGAAATTGTGGAAACCTCAAAAGCAAATAATGATCAAATGGTACCAAATGATGTTAAAGAAGGTTACTTTGCTGTATTTTCAGTGAATTCAGAGGAAGAACCAAAGAGGTTTATTGTGGAATTATGTTGGCTTACTGATCCATCATTCTTGGAATTATTAAAACAAACTGAAGATGAATATGGATTTGGACAAAAGGGTGTTCTTGAAGTTCATTGTCTCGCCGCGGAATTACAAAAAATTCTCATCAAACTCAAGATTGGAGTTTAGATTATAATATATGGTTTGATTTACAAACATATACTATATGTTCTTCTTCTGTTTATGTTACTAAATTAAGTCCATCTTTAACTAGAATTGAGACTTGCTTCATGTTAAAGGACACAATATACTAGCTAACTAGCTAGTATATTGTCTTTGTTGTTTGGATGCATGGTTGTTACCTACTGTAGTGTATTGAACTTTCATGTACTTGTCAGTTGAAATATAATGTTTGTTTTGATTGATACTTCAAGTTTTATTGTATCATATCGTTAATTCGGTATTATGTAATAATGAAAAGTCACATTTTTTATGTAGCAATAAATTTTACTGTATCGTATTGTTAATTAAATTCAGTATGTAACAATGAAAAGTTTCATTTTAGTTAACAACTAAAATTTGGTTTAGTTTTTTATTATTGGTAATTTGTTTGTATTGTACTGTTAAATTCAGTGTTATATAACAACAAAAAGGTCTCATTTTATGTAGCAATTTTGTTTTGATTGGTACTTTAATTTTATTGTATTGTATCGTTAAATTCAGTGTTATATGTAACAACGAAAAAAATCTCATTTTATGTAATGTAACGATTGATCTAATGTGAAACTAACATCTTTTAGCACTACACATCAAAAGGGATCCTCCCTAAAAACACCTACCAGAATGAATACTCGCCCACAAATAGGCGAATTGTCCCAAACAACGTTAAGTTCGTCTATTCCACTCCAACATACAACAGAAATATTGTACAATTTTTTTTTTAGCTTTTCCTTCTTCTTTTTTTAACAATAGATTTACCCAATATCCTACTTTTTATTTTTTTTAAATCCTTCAAATTGTTGATGTGTGACATTATATATAAAATGACGACAAACAATTCAATTTATCTAAATATTATATTCATTAAAATAATATAATACAATATAATATTATACCATACGATAAACTATAAAATAATATATAACAACCATTCATATGGTTGAGGGATAATTATGCACAAGGAAAAGAAAAGCCAAAATATTCTGAATTTTATTTAGATTTGGAAACAAAATTAAAGAATTTCCCCTTCAAACAAATTTCATGGGATTATTCTAATATTAAATAAAATAAAATAAAATTAAAGAGTTGAAATATAAAGTACTATAGAGATTATTCAATATAGTAAAAAATTCACGGGTATCTAATAACACCATTTTTAACTTGTACTCACTTTTAATATATTGTTATAGAGGTTTACCAACTTCAAATCTATTTCGAAATAATTTCAAATATGTGATGTCTGAAGTTAGTTATCACAAAGTTTAATTTTGAACAATAATGTTTTAAATTACATATAGTTGAAGTTCCGATAAAAAAATTGTTGAACTATAATATATGTCTAAAGTTCAAGCAAAACTAACTGAAATTCCAATAAAATGTGAAAATCCCCCGGAACCTTCGTTTGCTAGTTTATTTTTAATCTTTATATAGAAACAAATTAATAAATTGTACCTAAAAATCAGGTAGGGGAACAAAGGACCCATTGGTATATGAATAATCATTCAAGAAATTGAAATATCAATCAACATATTGCATGATCATGAGTATCAAAATGTGTAGCATGAAGAAGAAGGCCCTTCTCTTCTATATACACATTTTCATGTGAGCCATTAATTATTTTTGTTTTCAAAAAATCTATTGGATATTAATGATTTCATATCTTTAACTTGTTTGCTAGTTTGGGGGGTGTTTATATGATGTTTCTTCTTCAATTTTCTCACTTCTCTATGAAGAGGGCCTGATCAAGAGGAAAGTGATGGATTTCTAATAATTCATGCATTGTACATAGAAGATATACTGTTTATATCAAGTCGACAGATGCATGACATGTGGTCGGTATTGAAGCTTCTTTAAAGGTTAAGCTTTAAAGGATAATGTGTAATGTGAATCGAGAAATGTAGAAAATAAAATGGAGGAAAAATGAAAATTAAGGAAAGTTTGATTCTCCCTTATTGGTAATGAAGAGGAGATGTTTTCTGTTTATATATAGAATTATTATTTTTATTTTAATTTATTGTTTCGTATGATTAAATTCATCGTAAAAATCTCATTTTATGTGAATATCAATTTGATGTGATCTCATTATTTCTTTTTTTTCTCTTATTATTTTATCTTTGCTTATTATCTAATATCAATAATAATCATATTTTATCAATTTTACTATGTACCCTACTCTCCTTTTTTAAGGTTTATCCTTTACATTGCTAATGTGTAATATTATGCAATGACAAAAATTAAAATGATACAATTCATCAAAATATTGTATTCATTCAAACAATATAATACAATACGTACTATAACAAATAACAAATTTAGCAGCTATAATATAATTGAATATATATAATCGGCATTGATTGAATTTCAAGTAAAAATAGTTGAAGTTTAGCCATGACTTTAGCCATTCAACATATATGCATAAATTTTAGTTATATGAAACTTCAAAAATCACATACCTAAAGTATTTAAAAGTGGTTAGACATGTAAAATTTTACGTGATTCGAATAATGATTCCGAAATAAATAGGATATCTCTGCACTTGGGCTCTTGAATATATAGTAGGGAAAATTATATATAATAGCAAACTATTAATTCAAATTAAATGCTATAAATATACTTTGATTTAATTGTACCCTATAGCAAACTATGGTTATTTTCGCCACTCTCCCTGGTGGAATCTCGCTCGCCACTCTCGTTTGGTGGCAATCTCGCTCGCCTCTCTCGCTTTTATACAAACACAAATGTATAAAATGTGTTTGTATTTGTATAAAGCGAGAGGAAATTGTATATATACATATATTTTCGTTCCCCTCTCCCTCGCTCGCCACTCTCCCAAATCTCGCTCGCCACCCTCGCCTCTCTCGCTTATACAAACAGAAACGAAATGTATAAATTGCGCCTCTGTTTGTATAAAGCGAGAGAAAATTGTATATACACATGCAAATACATATATCTTCGTCCTATACATTTATAATTATACAATACAAATAATTTCATGCCCAATTTTCTTTCGTCTTTCTCTCTTTCTCGTTTTATACATACACAGATTATACAATTAATCTTTTGTATACAACTGCTTTCTTTTGTATATATATAGCGAATTATACAACTGCTTTCTTTGTATATGTATAGCGAATTATATATACAATTGTTTTTTTTTTGTATATGTATAGAGAATTATACATATATATGTTTGCTATGGAGCGCAATTATACAAACTTTGCTATAGCATACAAATAAATTTTGTGTTTGCTATATGTGAAAGTTGCTCCATATAGTAGGGGCAACTCTACCTCAAGACATAAATTTGTTTTAGGCCCGAGAAAATTGGAGGCCACAAAATTACTCATAGCATGCCTATATAATATAATCCAAATTATTAATTATTAAAAAAAATTTATTAGTTAAATCACCAATAGTTAATTACATGGTTGAATTTTATGTCTAATTAATTAAAACTCTAATGTCAACATTAGGGGTGTTCACGGGTTGGTTTGGATCAATAAAACCAAACCAACTTAATCAGTTTTAAAATTATCAAAACCAAATCAAACCAAATATAATATACATTTCTCGGTTTAGTGATTATCGGTTTCGGTTTGGTTTGGTTCGGTTATTCGGTTATTAACCATACACAAAAATAAAAGAAACAATTCATTTAAAATGTGAAAAAAGTGACAACAATCCATTCAAAACGAAAAATAGTTAGAATGACTTAAATTACTGAACTTTCGATCACTAAATTTACTATCAATAAACCTTTAAAATTCACTATATTGAAGGAAGAGACAATAACATTTTCAGTCCCACAAAGAATTTTCATAGACACTCATATACATGAAATCAATAAGATAAATGTTTCATCTTGGGCATTTTTGCTTTCAATAAGTAAATTATAAAAAAATTTTAATGAAAATATGTATAAGATCTTTAAAATTGTTTATAAAAACAATATATTAAGTATGTATATTAATAAAATATATGTATATAATTCATCGGTTCAGTTTGGTTATTTCTTCGGGTTTTTTTCGAATAAAACCATAACCAAACCAAATACTATCGGTATTCAAAAATCTAAAACCAAATCAAACCAAACCCAAATAAAATCGATTTTATTTTATCGATTTGGTTTGATTTTTCGATTTGGATCGATTTTTATCCAAACCGTGAACACCCTAGTCAACATAAATCTTATGCCTCATAATTCAAAAATAAAAGCAAGTAGAATACTCCATATATTATAATATAATAATACAAACAAGTCGAAGAAGATTAAAATGGAAGAGTTTGGTAAAGAATAATAATTTTGGAATTGATTGAATTATCATATTTAGTTTGAAGTATTTGTTAATTTTAAGATTATTTTATTATTTGTATTAAAATGATGGGATTACAATTCTAGATATCATTTTGATGTGTTTTACTTTTTTCCAACAAGTGAGGTTTGATGTTTCTAAATTCATTGTATTAATCCCACGTCCTACTTGCAATATGCACTATATATGATCTCCGCTTTACGATTCAATTGCCTTGTATTCAACTATTGAGTTCAAAATTTACGAAAGTTGACTCAAAATATTTTATCTTAGATGCATTTTCATAAAATGAGATAAAATAATTTCATATAATATCTCATCTTATAAAATATTTTTATTTATCTCATCCAACGTATGGAACGATGTTATATATTACTATTACTATTCATGATTAATATATCAGACCGCGTGCCAGTTGTAGAAAGTATACGGAATGGTACCAGACATTGTGGTACAATATGTTTCAAAAAAATCATTAATCTTTGTGGCTAGCAACATTTGTAATTGTCACATTGAACTAGACAAATCTCCTAACCAATAAGGGTCCATTTGGTTATGCTTGTTTTTTTAAAAATAAAAATAAAAATCAAATGTATTTCGGTTATATTCATTG